TTTTTTTTTTTTTTTTTTTTTTTTTTTTGAGACACAGGCTCGCGATGCGACCCAGGCTGGCCTTGAACTCATAGCAATCCTCCTGCCTCAGCCTCCTGAGTGCTGGGATAACAGGCCAGGACGCCTGGCTGCATAACCCTTCCATATATAATGTCAGCATTATTTTAGGAACATTGACCACACTCAGACAGAAACCAAATTTAGACAGAAAACGATAGCTCCAAGGAGCTGCCACTACGGTAAAAGCAAAACAAGTACCAAAGTGACAACTCCTGACTTCTCTTTTGAAAAGGGTCCCCAGGGCAGCGTCCAGGAAGCTAATCAAGGGCCATGCGATGGGCAGAGAAACCGTGTGCAGAGAGTAAAAGGCAGCAGAGACGGGGCCCGGGTTCACCAACCCTGAGCAGCAGAGCACCACCGCGGTGGGAGCCAGGCCTCTCTGTCCTGACCCCCAGCCCCAGGGCTGCCGTGCACAGCAAGGGCTGCTTTCCTCTGGCCTCTCCGCTACAGAGACCATGCTGTGCAGTCTAAATGAGGACATCCAAAAGGCCCAACTCTGCCAGGCTCTGCTCTGCCGCTAATCCCAGCTACTCAGGAGGCTGAGGCAGGAGGATTGCTTAAGCCCATGTTCGAGGCAGGCCTGGGCAACACAGAGACTGTCTCTTAAAAAGAGAAATGGACTCTACCACATTCTACCAGAGCCACTCCCAGAGCGCAAGCTGTTCTTTCTGTATTGACTTCTCTAGAATGAGTAGACAAGTTTCCACCTGTATGCATCTTCTCTGCACTGACTCAGAGCTCTCTGCTTGAAGTAGTGAAAGGACAGGTTGGGGAGGGCTCAGAGAAAGTAAGCTGAGGCAGAGACCTCTCCCGGGCCACCCAGGACTTCGCAGAACAGTGCAAGTTCTCCTAAGGGAACAGACTTTATCTCTAGTGTCCCATGACAAATATTCTAGCTTTGCAGGCCCGTATGGTGTCAAACTCTACTGTTCAACAACATGCCAGAGAAATTGGTGTGGCTGTTCCAGTAAAACTTCACAGAAACATCCCGTGAGCCAGCTTTGGCCTTAGGATCCAGCTTGCTCACCCCTGAAGCAGACTATTTAGTGCTTAAATTGTCAAATCCAAGTTCACGGCTTCACAATCACAAACCTTGGTAAGTGTGACCAGTATTAGGCGTCAAAAAGTGAACACACAGGCAGGATGGTGAACGCCACTTGGGAGGCTGAGGCAGGAGGACCACCCCCAGTACAAGGCCAGGCTGGGCTACATACCATAGTGAGTTCAAGTGCAGCCTGAACTACATAGGGAGACCCTGTCTCCAAAAAAAAAAAAAAATCTAATGAACTTGCTGAGTGGTGACACAGGCCTATAATCCCGGCATTGTAGGAGGCTGAGGCAGGAAGATCATAAGTTTGAGCCCAGCCCGGGCAATTCAGTGACTTAGTGAGACTCTGTCTCAAACAGCATAAAAAGGGCTGGGGATGTAGCTCTGTGCAAAGGGCTTGGGTTCCATCCCCGGCACTGCATTAAAAAAAAAAACCAACAAACTACTAAACTCATAATCAGAATCAATAGACATGAGTCTTACCCAGAAAGGGAATCTTCTTTGTCCTTGCCCAAGAAATCGCCTGCATTTTCCCCAACGTTCCTCTCAGTCCAAAGCCTCCGGGCACAAGAACACCGCTGAAATCAGCACAAGGAGATGTGAATGAGGTCGTGTGTCGCTCTCACTGCTGAAACCTACCCGTGTGTGTGTGGCCGCTCATGTGACCGAGCCGCACCACGAGCCTGGCACACCACTGGCACCATCGCCCGCCCCGCACGCCGTGCCTGCTACAAAGAAGCTGTGGCAGCTTCTCTCAGTCTCCTCCGTGCCGCTTCCGGGCCCAGGTGCGTGCGTCAGAGCACAGGGCCCGGGACACTGCCCCGAAGGCAGTGACACTGAGGCAGCTACAGCAGCTGCCCCACACTCACAGGCCCCAGCCTCCAACCCGGCACCAAGCAAAAATGCAAAAGAAAAGGAACGTCACCAGAGAATAAAACAGGCCAAGGCTCTCTCCAAAGCACCACTGTGACAATGTGAAGATCGCCTATCTAGGCCAGGTGGGCATAGTGCAAGCCTAGGATCCCGGCACTGGGGAGGCTGAGGCAGGAGGATGGCTTTGAGTTCGAGGCCAGCCCGGGCTACATAGCCAGTTCAAAAAACAAAATTAAAAAATTAAAAAACCGGTTCTATAATCAAAAAGAGTTAAAGTGATAAAATCAGCCGAAGGTTTGAACTGCTAATTAAGTGACCGTGCAAGAGAATTCCTGGCTAGAGACTTTCTAGGCCAGTGGTGGTGAACCGCTACGGCACGCAGCTGCCGCAGTCAGCTGTTGGTACCATGAAAACCTCTAAAAGGTTCACCATCACTGTTCCCAGCAATACTCCCAGCAACCAGGACGACAGGGAGCCCTCAGGAAGGGCTTGCTTGCTATGCTACCATCACGGATGAATGCTGCCCCACAGATCTGCTGATGATTGAGCAGTTTAAAGTACAAAGCGGCTGGTGGCGGAGGTGGCACAGCCCCGAACAGACGCAGACCGCTGAGCCATGCTCTCCAAGGGTGAGTGTTTGGGTACCTGAGCAGTACTGTAAGGTTAAAAATAACAGCTCATGAAGCCAGGCATGGTAGCATACACCTTTAACCCGGCACTCGGGAGCCCAAGGCAGAAGGGTTTCGGCAAGTTTGATGCCAACGTGGGCTACATAGTGAATTCGAGGTCAGCCTGAACTGCATAGCGAGATCCTATCTCAGAAAAAAAATGAGTAAGTAAATAAACAAAAAAAATCGAGAGGAAAGTCGCCCCTCTTGTACCTCAGCCGTGGGGCTGCCCCTCTCGGGAGAATTAATGCACTCCTCTGCCCTCACTGCCGCCACCCCCCAATGCTGCCAGCCCCACCGCCCTCCAGCAGGTCCCGCAGCACACGTCAAAGTGACGCAGTGCACAGCCCCGGCCCCAGCGCCTGTCCTCACTCAGCCGTGCACAGCTTCTGCCAGGCTTCGTGGAACCTCACGGGGTCCTGGGCCTTGGTGTCCTGCTCCAGGTCGATGGAGTCTATGTACTGGAGAGACACAGGGATGGTGAGCACGCCAGACACCACAGGACACCCTGCTGCCACTCCTCCGAGCCCTCACGGCTGAGACTCCTGAGACTCGGGGGAAACGCCCGAGTCCCGAGCCATCCCACAGCCACAACCCCGCAGAGCCCATCCTCCTCTGGGAGCCGGAAGCGGGGGGCTTGCAAAAAGGATCGCGATTCTTTCACACACCAAGTTGGACAAGCACCGAATCCAATTCGGTGGTCGGGTTGGAGGCTGACGTATGGGGAAACGTGGTTCGGTGCTCATCCAGTGGCAGAGAGAATTGAGTTCGTGAGCCAAAGCACCACTGCCTATAACATCCAATTCTACAAAGACTTTAAAGTTGTTTTATGACTGATGGTGAACTTCTGGATGCGTGGACATGTGGGAAACTTCTACGTGACAGACGCCAGGTTTTCTATTTATTAAAAGGTCAGCTCTTGCTTGGAACTGAAAACACCGCTCAGGCACCGAACACAGAGCTGTTTTACGTGAAGCGGTGTTCATCTGTGCCCATGCGGCACTGGCAAATCTTACGGCACTGGGACAGAAAGCAGATCTGCGTGGTGGCTCTGGCAGTCTTCCTGGAAGATTGTGCAACTAAGTACATGGACGTCAACCCCAGTGTGATCGTGGCCAGGATGTAAGGAAAAAAAGCTTCAAGTAACTGGGAGCCACACCACGCGGAAGCCACCACTGGGCGCTGCAGGGGGAAGGGAAGGACTGAGGCCCCAGGAGACAAGGTCCAAACTACGAAGCCCCAGAAGGAGGAGAATCAAGATCATTGAGAAAACCGGGCTTGGTGGGGCATGCCTATTATCCTAGCACTCGGGAGGCTGAGGCAGGAGGATCGCCTGGGCTACACAGCGAGTTCAAGGCCAGCCTGAACTACATAGCGAGACCCTGCCTCAAAAAAAGCTCTGTTGTGTCTGTGTGTGTGTGTGTGTGTGTGTGTGTGTGTGTGTGTATTGGGAGGGCCAGGGAGGTATGGAGATGAGGGTGGAGAGGGTCTGAATTGTCCGGGGAAAGACAGGTAGTGGGGCCACCCTGGGCTCTGCTGAGCTAGGAGACAGGGACCCAGAATCCCTAGCGCCCACAGAGCTGCGGCTGACTCCAAGCCCGCTGGGAGCCCTGCGGCTGGGCCGGACGCACCATGAGGTTGAGCCTGTGGTTGACAGCCAGGGCCGAGTGCTCCAGGGCCTTGAACACAGATGCATAGCAGTCCCGGAGCTTGGTGTACTTCCCGACCAGGGCTATGGAGCAGGTCTTCTGCAGCTTTTCATACCTGAGGATGGCCGGGTTCGAGGTTAACACGCGTGTTAAGTGACATCGCAAGTGACTTTTTATCCCAGAGCACTTTTTTCAATTTTATTTGGTTTTGTTTTTTTTGAGACAGGGTCTCACTGTGCAGTCCAGGCTGGCCTAGAACTCACGGCGATCCTCCTGCCTCAGCCTCCAGAGCGCTGACATGACAGACCTGCACCACCACATCTGGCTCCAAGGCACTTTTTGAAACCTTAGTAACAGACCTTATTCCTACCTGAACTTTACTCAGTCTCCCTTTCAAACAAATAAAACCCTGAGACATCCCTTTCATAAACAGGTGAACGTGGAAATCAGAGTGGATCAGAGAAAAAAGCATTCCAAATAAAAAAATTTTAAAGCCATCTCACAAACGAGCTATTCCTAAAAGAGCTCGTAAGGGGACACTGTGGAAGAAAGGCTTTGTGGGGCCAACAGGAAACAACCACAGTAACTCCGGAAGCCGACACTGTAGAAGCCGCGTTCAGAGCGTCTCCATGTCGAGTGCTCTGTTCCTAGTGGCCAGCAAAGGGCCGGGCCTTCACGGCAGACCTAAAGAACGGGGCTTGGACAACTGTTTGAAATATTCCAAGCCATTCCCATCACTTTTCTGAGCAAGCTCCATTCTACACAGGACAGTCCATCAGACTTGTCCATCAGAGACACAATCGTTAGCATAGTTTTCTGTTGGGAACGCTGTTCACCGCGCGTGACAAAGCCGTGCTCTACTATTAGTTACTGAAATGTGAATGCTGGCTGGGATGTCGCAGGGCTTTAACGCCAGCCCTGCCCCAAACACCTTAGGAAAATGTTAGGACGCGGAGGAAGCTCTCACTTCACACTCACAAGACTTCAGGAACGTGGGGGCCTATGCCTGTCATTCCAGCAACCGAGAGGCTGAGGCAGGAGGATCGCCGTGAGTTCCAGGCCAGCCTGGGCCATGCAGTGAGGTCCAGACTAACGTGGACCACTGGCAAAAATCCTTTAACTCCCGACTGGAGTAGGTGCTGCCCTGAAGAGTGTACAACAAGCGGCGTGAAAGCACAGGCAGAGGGAGAAGCAGGACTTCCAGGAGGGGCAGCTGGCTGGTCTCTCCCGCCTCCACCCTCCTGGCACTCACAGGCATGGGCTCCCACCAGGAGGGCCCGCTATACGCTCAGCGCCCTCTTTCCTCTGCCTGTGCTGCACATGCTCCCCGGGGTGTGCCGGGCCAGCGGCGAAGTGACAAGGAGCCACTGTGGCAGGAGGGGAGGGAGTGCAGGTCCCAAGGTGATGCAGCCTGGACGACAGGGGCGCCACCCTGGTCTCGGCTCCCAGGCCAGCTCTCCTACCATTTCATTTTGTTTTTGAGACAAGGTCTCAACATGGTACCCCAGGCTGGCCTTGAACTCACGGTGATCATCCTGCCTCAGCCTCCAAAGTGCTGAAACTGCAGGTGTGCGCCGCTGCCCCGCCTGGCCCTTACAGGAGAAGAGGAAGGGAGATGACAAGGGTGAGGCAGTGTGCGCACGGAGGTAGGCATCAGAGGGGCGCGGCCCCGGGACTGGAGAGCAAACTGCTGCCGTAATCCGGTACAGCAGCTGCAGGAGACTTAATACCAAAGTCAAATATTTGGCTTCAGAAAGCACAGAAGCGCTGGGCGTGGTGGTACAGGCCTGTAGTTCCAGTACTCAGGAGGCTAAGGCAGGGGGATTTCCGGGCGTTTGACACCAGAATTACATAGCCAGGCTCTGTCTCAAACAAGACAAAACAAAAGGATTTCCTTTAGAAAGTATTAACTGAGGGCTGGGGATTTAGCTCAGTGGTTCCAGCGCCTGCCTCACAAGCGCAAGGGCCTGAGTTCGATCCTCAGTACCAAAAAAAAAGAAAGTATTAGCTGAGAACGTATTCTTTTCTTTTCTTTTGTGAGACAGGGTCTTGCTATGCAGGTCAGGCTGGCCTTGAACTCACTGTGTAGCCCAGGCTGGCCTCAAATTCCTGGGGATCTTCCTGCTTCGACCTCCCAAGGGCTGAGATGACAGGCATGGGCCACTACCCCGAGAAAAATGTAATCATTATGAACTGCAAACATGTACTGATAAATATCAAAATAGCTGAATCCTAAACCAAACCAAACAGAACTGAAACATTCAAAGTGATAAAATATTCAGAAAACAAGAAATAAATCAAAACGCTCCATGAATAAAAAATATTCCATTCAGAGTCCAGTCTTTCAGTTCCCTCTGGTTGAAGCCACAGAGAGGTGGAGGCCGCAGAAGTTCCCACGGAGACCTGCACGAGCCCAGCCCACCTGTCGGCCATGTTCCCCCACCGCAGCAGCAGGCCGCTCGAGGAGTCGCCCACGGGCAGGTCCAGCCGCTCCTTAAAGTGCTGCACGATGCCTTGCTGCTCCAGGAGCACAGGCACTCGGTAGGTGGAAGACACGTCGTGGATACACATGACCTGCAGCGAGGACAGAGGCTGCTTAGGCGGCGGTCGGATGGACTCGAGAAGGCGGCCCCGCTCAAGAGAGATTGGCGGCTTCATTCTCCTGATGCACAGAAGGACACTAGGAAGCCGAGTGCAGTGGTGCACATCTGTGATCCCAGCACTCAGGAGGCTGAGGCAGGAGGATCTCAAGCTCAACCCAACCTAGGCAACTTCATGACTTGGCGAGATGTGGTCTCAAAATTAAATAGAAAATGTTTTAAAAGGGCTGGGGATGTGGCTCCGTGCAAAGGCCCCGGGTTCATTCCCCAGTACCACCAAAAAAAAAAAAAAGTGAAGGGCCACAGGCACCGACCTGTTCAGGTTTCACGTGACAAAACATGGAGATCTTCTCCTTCACGGCCATCTCGATGGGCGTGGAGCTTCGGCAGACGATCTGTCAAAGTGAGTTTGCTGTCAGCCAGCAGGAGCCGCCTGCCCGCGCCGCCATGCACTTCCGGAGGTCACCGTGGCCGGTTCTCCCCCAGTGAGAGGCCTAGCAAGGGTGCATCTACTTGCCCCGGGCCCTTGGGGCCGGAAGCCTGGCCAAGCGTGGGAGACGTGAGACAACCAAGGGCGAGCACAGCGTAGAGCCGGCTCCGGGGATGGAGCCAAGGCTAGGACTGCTGCACCTATCAGTAAATGCAAGCGAAGAGCCAGGCGTGGGGGTGCATGCCTGTCGTCCCAGCACTCGGGAGGCTGAGGCAGGAGGATCATCATGAGGTCCAGGCCAGCCTGGGCTACATAGTAAATACAATGCCAACTTGAACTACAAAGTGAGACCCTGTCTCAAAAAATAATAGTAAACGGGGCCCGGGATTTAGCTCAGTGGCACTGCATCTGCCTCATAAGCGCAAGGTCTTGAGTTCGATTCCCAGTACCACAAAAAAAAGTAATAGCGAATTAAAACAAATAAAACACGGAGGTCAATCTCCAAGAGGCCTTGAGGGCAAACTTACCTACCACACTTCACTCACCAGATCCGGAGACAGGCCCAGCCCTCTCAGCGCCCGGATACTGTTCTGAGTAGGCTTGGTTTTCTGTTCCCCGGTGGCACTGGGCTAAAAAGGAACGTGTCCCTGTCAGTGCCCCACAGGTCTAGTTCTTCTGGGTAAGTGACGGCTTCCTGTCCCCAGCACGGGGCACAAGCATCACGGGAAAGTGGGCCAAGTGGCCGGGCACACTCGTCTGCAGAGCCCACCTGAGGGACCAGGCTGACGTGGATATTATAGAAATTCTCTCTCTTCGCCTTGAACTGGAACTGCCTGAAGGCTTCCACAAACGGCATGCCCTCGATGTCCCCGATGGTGCCTCCCAGCTGGGGAGAGAAAACAGAACTAACTCGCCATGAGCAAGCGTCTTCCATGGTGCACAACACAAGCACAAGAACCGAACTTCCACGTGTGCACAAGAACAAAAGCTTGCAAATGCTCGGAGTCACTGAGTTAATCTGCCTAGCGTGGTGGCCCAAGCCTGCCTGGAACCCAGCACTCTGGGAGGCTGAGGCAGGAGGATCGTAGGCTGGAGCCCAGCCTGGGGAACTTCTGGCAGAGGAGCACAATAAGCTAGTTTTAACAAATGGCCCCAGTTGGAAGGCAGTGCCAATGCCAGAAAAGTGACAGCTACCAGGCTCTGCCCGGATCCCTGGATGGAAACTGTGAGCGCTTGCTCAGCGGCCCCCCTCGCCGTGTTGGAGCAGGATCCTTGCTGTGCTGGCACTTCTAGAATTAAATCCCTGTTATTAAAACATGCTGGCTTTCTAAAACAAACAGTAGCAAAATCCCATGAATGTTCCCGGCACAGTAATCCTTCAATAAATGTCAACTTCACTTACAATATATTTCCAACAAGGTTCCTTGAAGCTTTTTGCTTGAGACGAAGAGAAAATTCACCTTAATCCATTCATCCTTGTTATATTAAATACTTAAAGTCTATCACATGGATTTTAAAATTAATTCTCTAACTGGGCATGGTGGCGAATGCTGCTAATTACACAAACATGGGAGGCTGAGGCAGGAGGATCACAAGTTCTAGCCTAGCCCGGGTATCTCAGTGACTTAGTAAGACCCTGTCTCAAAAAAATAAAAAGTGAGGCCGGGCATGGTGGCACATGCCTGTAATCCCAGCACTCTGGAGGCCTAGGCAGGAGGATCGCTGTGAGTTCGAGACCAGCCTGCGAATGCTGCTAATTACACAAACATGGGAGGCTGAGGCAGGAGGATCACAAGTTCTAGCCTAGCCCGGGTATCTCAGTGACTTAGTAAGACCCTGTCTCAAAAAAATAAAAAGTGAGGCCGGGCATGGTGGCACATGCCTGTAATCCCAGCACTCTGGAGGCCTAGGCAGGAGGATCGCTGTGAGTTCGAGACCAGCCTGGGCTCTATAGTGAGTTCCGGGTCAGTCTCAACTACATAGTGAGACCCTGTCTCAAAAATAAATAAATAAAAAGGGCTGGAGATTTAGCTCAATGGTGCTGCCGCCTACATTACAAGTGTGAGGTCCTGATTCAACCCCCCATACCAAAAAAAAAATAATAATAATAATAATAATAGTAAAATAAAATAAAATAAAAAGGGCTGGGGATGCAGCTCAGTACAAAGGCCCAGGATTCAATCCCCAGTACCACAAAAATAGAAAATAAAAATAAAAGTAATTCTTTAGCACTTGAGATTCTACTATGGTACACTGTAGCAGCTCAACACTGTAAGAAGTGCTGGGAAGAAATGAGGCCAATGTCAGGGACAGGGATTTAGCTCAGTGGCACCAGCGCCTGCCTCACAAGCACAAGGTCCCAAGTTCGATCCCTGGTACAAAAAAAAAAAAAAAAAAAAAAAAAAAAAAAATTAAGACAATCTGCTCCTAAGCAGCACAGAGTTTCAGAGTTTGACCAGGAAGACAAGGCAAGGTTAAACAATGAGCAAGGACAGAACCTGGGTGACACATGCCTCTGATCTCAGCACTCGAGAGGCTGAGGCAGGAGGATCGCCACGAGGTCAGGGCCAGCCTGGGCTGCATAATGACTTCAAGGCCAGCCTGAACTACAAAGCAAGATTCTGTCTCAAAAACCCCCCAAAAAGAAATGAATAAACAAAAAGTAAAAGTTCCAGGACTGGGGATTTAGCTCAGTGGTTCTGCTGCCTGCCTCTCAAGCACAAGGACCTGAGTTTAATCCTCAGTACTAGAAAAAAAAAAGTAGAAGTTCCAAACATAAGGTTTGGACTATAGCTGAGTGGCATAGCGCCTGCTGCTTAGCATATACAAGGCCCTGAGCACGAGCGCGCGCGCGCGAGCGTGTGTATATGTGTGTGTGTGTGTGTGTGTGTGTGTGTGTGTGTGAGAGAGAGGCTTTCAGGCCCCCCACTGAGCCCCTTCCTTCCTGCCCCTAACTGCCTTCCTTCATCACAGCCTTCACCCAGGAGACAGGACCCTCACTCTCGGAGAGGCTGGACCAGGCACCCCACTCCCCTAGCACAGCACCCTGCTGTGCCCTTCCCTGCAACATGGACAGCAGCCGCCAGCATTTGGGCCTCCCTGCCCGCTGTGCCTGCCACCTAGGGCTTCAGGTCAGTGACCAGGATGGAGAGAGAAGTCTCAGAAGGTGACTGAAGCCCCAAGGAAGTGAGCAATACAGAGACCATTACAACTACCGCAGACTTACACTGCTGGAGAAGAGATCAGTCTTCACTGACCCTAATTCACATAACAAAACACAACAGAGCTAGGCCGGTGGCACACGCCTGTCATTCCAGTACCCAGGAGGCTGAAGCAGGAGGATCACCACCTGTTCGAGGCCAACCTGGGCTACACAGCGAGTTCAAGGCCAGCCTGGACTACATAGCAAGATCCTGTCTCAAAAAGACAAAGAAATCAGAATTCTAGCTTCTTGTTCCCTGGAACAGGTAAGAATATATGATATGACTTATTTTTTAAGAGAGTGACTTAATCATGAAATTCCAAGAAGCGAAAACAACATATGTACATCACATTCAGTCAGGAACTTGGTGGGGACAGGGCAGGGGTGTCAGTAACTACAAGACACAATAATCTAATGAAAACAAAATTTTGTTTTGAGAAGAAAAGAAATGCTCTCCTCTTTTTCGTTGGGAGTCAGGAGTGAATGGAAAAAGGAAGCCAAAATTTTAAACGTTATTCACTTCTGCCCTCATGTGGCCTATAGTGGTACTGCAGTCCCTTCAGACGTTCCCTCTACGAGGCCTGGGGTACCGCCTGTCCAGAAACCTTCAGAGTCCCCTGGTATCCGAGGATCACCACGGGTTCAAGGCCAGCCTAGACTATAAAGCGAGATCTTGCCTCAAAAAACCAAACAAAACACTTTATGGGAGGAATCTTCCTTTTGGAAGAAAAACTTGTATTCCTTGAACTACGCCAGGTATAAATGACTTCCGGTTTGCGCTTCAATGACTTGGCCAAACACGAATAGAGCTTGTCTGCGCTCCTGGTTCGGGAAGGGAGGGACGTAACCTGCAGTGGCTCTGGACAACAGCCCCTTCACGCTAGCCCCAAGTCACCCCATGCACGGGGGCAGGGGTACCCAGGACGGAATGCAGGGTCTCAACCCACCTAGATAGGGCTCTGCTCCCGAGCTACATTCCCAGCCGGGCCAGTAACTGCCGAGCACTTCCTGTAGCTCTGATGCCATTCCAAGCATTACGTGTGGAGACTTCTTTTAATACTCAAAAGAATGAGTTAGGTATTTTCATTATGCCCATTTCTTTACACACACACACCCTTTGGGAGTTTTGTTTTGCTTTTTAAGACCATGTAGCCCAGATTGGCAATGCTCCTGCCTCAACTTCCCAAGAGTGCTGGCATGAGAGGCCTGCACTGCCACCTCTGCCACCAAACAATCCTTTCTTTAAATAGCTGACACTCACTTCTCATCTTTCCCACCTGACTTCCTAACTCAGCCTCTCCACTCGAAAGCATTTGTAGCCAGTGCCCCCTACAAGCTCCCTGTGCCGCACTCGGGCGACTGCGTGCCCACCACAGGAGCTCATGCAATCACTGCCTTACTGAGAATCTTGCCCCCAGCTGGTGACCACAGGAGGGACCGGCTCTGTGGTCCCTTGCACTGCCCCCAGGCCGGGGTCCCACAGCCAGGGCCATCTGTCTGCACCTGCTGGGGAGGGCCCCGGAGTAGGAGACAAGACCGCAGCATACACACTTCGAAGGCCAGGATGCACGCTTGCCTCTATGACGCAGATCTGGGGCTCTTCCCGGTTCCCATCCACTGGCACCTTGGACTGATTCATGACCCATTCTTGGATGGCGTCGGTGATGTGGGGAACGACTGCGGAAAGAAGTCACACATCGAAGCTCACCTCACACACACCAGTAAGGAAAGCACCTCCGACCTCCCGAGCCACCCAAGGAACCAGCAGATCAGACCGACTCTGGCCCCGCGACCGTCTTCCCTTGAGACAATAGCATCTGCACTGATGCAATTTAGCGTGAGTCAGTACTGAGCCCTTGCGCTCAACACTGACCAGTCACAGAGATCGAGAAACAAAGCTGCTAGGTGAGGTGGCCCATACCTGTGATCTCAGCACCCGGGAGGCTGTGGCAGGCAGATCGCTGCGAGTTCGAGGCAAGCCTGGACTACATAGCGAGACACACCCACCCCCCAACCCCGGCAAAAGCAAAACGATGCAGAAGTGCTATCTTTATCTTTGTTGAAATCAGAACCACAAAATACCTATCTTGCCAACTAAGAACTGTGTAAGGAGGGAGGCCGGGTCAGTTGGTCGGGGGGAGCACCAGCCAGAGGGGAGAGGATGGAGATGCTGGGGCCCAGACCCACCCGCCAGGCAACAGCAAGAAACCGAAATGGCAGTCTCCACTAGCACCTGAGCCCCAGGGTCCCTCGGGGAGGCAAAAGGGCCCAGAGTTCCTAATGTCAGCTGAAGAAACACAAAGGAAACAGGCCATGCCATCCAGATACAAAACCCTACCTCGACACAGGAAGTAGAAATGCTGGCTTCCGGGAGGCACGCGAAGAAAGCACCTCCCATTGGTGAACTGAGAACAGCCCACTGCGCATGCCCACCAGCCTCTGTCCGAGGGGGTGGGGCCGCTGGGGCTCTTCTCCCACTAGGGCAGCTCAGAGGTCAGGGGTGTCGCTCTGCGCTCATCACAGAGCGTCTCAGATGGGAAGAGCAACTCTCCCTCCTTTAGGTCTTCCCAGGGCCGACGCTTGGGGGACAATTAACCCAAAGCACCAGTGAGCTCCCAGTGGCCACAGTAGCCCGGCTGGTTTTCAACCTCTGACTCTGATGTGTACTTAACTGGTTCCAACTTGACGGTGATTCAGAGAGAGCAGATGCCGCCTTCACCCCACCATGCAGGAATACAAGGGTTCAAGACCCAAGGTGTCAAAGGTGGTCTTCCAAGACAGAATGCAATCATCCCACCCTGGGAAGAGGCTGGTGCCTGGACTCTCCCATCCCTTCCCAATGCTGCCAGTTTTCACCGTCAATGCAAAGCAACAAGATAAAGGGAGGAAAATGAAGATATTAAAACAGCGCACACCTGTGATCCCAGCGCTTGGGACGCTGAAGAAGCAGGAGGATCACTGAAAGTTCAAGGCCAGCCTGGGCTACACAGTAAGTTCAAGGCCAGCCTGAACTGCATCGCAAGACCTGTCTCAAAACAAAATAAAACCAAAGCCAGGAGAGGTGATGCACACCTGTAATCGCAGCACTTGGGAGGCTGAGGCAGGAGGATCGCTGCAAGTTGGAGGCCAGCCAGGGCTATATAGTGAGTTCAAAGCCATCCTGAACAACACACAAGACCATGCTCAAAACACCAAAATAGGGACAGAATTTTAGCTCAGTGGTTCCACTGCCTATCTCGAAAGCGCAAGGACCCAAGTTCGATCCTTGATACCCAAAGCAAAAAAAAAAAAAAAAAAAAAAAAAAAAAAAAGGGGGGGGGGGTTAA